TTCTAGGAATTTGTCATTTCATCTATGTTATTTAATTTATTGGTAAACATTGTTTACAGCATTCTTTTATCTTTTTTATTTCTGTATGTCAGTAGTAATATCCCCACTTTTATCTGAGTTTGTTTACTTGTGTCTTTTCATTTTCCTTAGTGTAGGTGGAGGTTTGTCACCTTTGTTGATCTTGTCAAAGAACAAATTTTTGCTTTTAGCATGAACTACTTTAAAACATATATATTATATTACACACACACACACACACACACACACACACACACACACTGAGTTGTATTACAAATAATTTTCTTCCCAAACTTGTCATTTCCCCACCACCAAATATATATGGTTACTGCAAAGCCAACAGCACTTGGGTACATCTCCAACTAGCCACACATGGTTAAATCTTTCCTCCTATCTTCCATCACCCACTGCCCACCCAGTATGAGGCCTCAGTCATGTCCTCTAGTTAAAATGTCTGCCACATCCAGCTTTGTGGGTTTCTTCTCATGCCACCTATACCCAAATAAAGATCACCATTTGGGTTGCTTGAGTTGGCTACAGCATGGTGCCACTTCCTGGGACACCTCGGAAGCCACACTCAAGTGGTAGATAATGTCAGAGGTGGGAGAGGAGTATATAAGTCCCCTATGCCATGTATGAAACCACATCCTGCAGGCACTCACCCCATCCTCCTCCTACTCACCAATCACGGGCAGGGAAGAAGAGGGGATGGCAGGTGATGGTAGTAAGAATAAATTCTAGCTTCTCATCACCCAGGAAACCCCCAGCCAGCTGTTGCCATGTCCTGGGGTATCTAAAAATGCCTCGTAAGTACTCTGTCCCGACCCATTTCAGCCAAGGCTTCCTTCCCAGAGCAGGTTACCTCTGAGGCATCTAAACTAAGACCCAAGTCTAGTTTCAGAGTAGTTTAAACATCTGGGCTATAGAAGAACATAAGATTATCTTCCTAGTACAGGGTTCCAGTGACATCCCCTAAGTCACTTGAGAGGGCTTTTCAGCAAGTGAATGTATTAAAGATCCTGATTTTACCTCTATTTCCCCAAAGTTAATTGGTCCCGAAAGTATAAAAACATCTAATCTGCTACCTCTATACTCTAAGTTAATAAAGATATGAATTACCATTGTTTATGTCATTTTTATTTCTATTTTTAATTACATATTTTTGTCTGTTCTTGGTTCACTTGGAGATGGTGGTGAACTTGGAGGATGAGGGAGACACTCACTTTTCAAAAATCATTTGTAGTTTCTGGAGTTTTCTTGCCGTGACTATATGCCCTGTTGTGTTACTTTGTCACATGCAACAAACACAGTGGGAATGGTTTGTATTACTTTTATTATGAAGGTATGCTTTTTCATAACTGTGTTTTTCTATGAGCATCATATTAATCCAGATCATTGTTTTCAACCAAAACTGAAGATGTAAAATCCTAGAACTCACTAGTCTATTTTAGTAGGTCACAGGAAGCATGCAAATCATAGAAACCACAATCATCAAAAGCATCTGTATTGAAAAAAAAAAGCAAGAATTTATCTTCTAAAGATGTCAACTAACAAATCCATCACAGATAAGTGAAGAAGTTGCAAGGGACATAAAAGTATCCTCAAGATGTTGATAAACCATGCCTGCTTCCTGCCTGGGCAGCAATTCTCTCCAGCCATGCTCTTTCCCATGTTTTCATTTGGTTGAGTATTGCCATCCATGGAGGGGCAGAGATTTTTAGGAAAAACCCTAACTTTCAGCTTCAATGGTCTACCTCCAATGCAGCTGCTGGCTTTCAGAATACAAATAAACAAGAATCTTAAACTTCTCCCGGCCAGTGTAGGGCTTGTTCTTCCCTCTTTATTCAGGAAGCATGAATCATTTTTATTTCATGGGTTTATGGAAGAACCGAGTGTCTTCTCATCCTTGTCACAGGTCACCTTGAGTTACACTGCCATGGCTGTTATGTGATCCTGCTTGGTCAACAGGCAAACCAGAAATGGAAGGCTGGTGACATGCTTTCCCCCAAGCTCCAAGCACTACCCTCCTCTTCCAGACTGGAATTTCAGAAACCATGAACCCAATGCCACAGGCAGATATGGGGATCTCAAACTTAAAGAAAAGCATATTTCCTAAGTCTTTCCATGTTAATAAAGAATTTTAAGGTGTACTTACCAAGGTTCTCAATTTTCTGACTATCTACATGGACCGGGTGAGAAAAATTTGACAAAAAAAAACACACGCGCGCGCGCGCGCGCACACACACACACACACACACACACACACACACACAAAAGACATTTGGCCCAATAGTTGTGTGGTTATTTGCTATTCTCCCCCAGATCCACTCTGAGCCCCAGAAACCAATGTCTATGGGCTACATCACCTAGACTCCCCACTGCTTCCTCTGCCTTATTGGGGTGCAGTCACTTGCAGGCACTTGCAGGAGATCGGAGTGGAAGCCAAAGGTTAGGGTACTTTTTGCTCCTGCTCTTCTCCTGAGTTGACAATGTTCTAGTAATGGCTGCATCCTTTGGCTTTCAACTCTCAACTCCAGCTTTCAACAGGGTTCAGGAGATATACTTTATTTTATAATCCTTCAAACATAGGGCTAAAAGCTCCTACTGCTGCTGGTCACTGGGCACCTCACTACCTTAAGCTCTTTCTTGCAGGGAAGGTCTCGTGGTAGTAACAAGTCCTCTCACCTTTTGTTTATCTGTCCTAATTTCTCCCTCACTCTTGGACAGTTCTGCCAGATATAGGATTCTCAGTTAACTTTTTTTTCTTTTAACATTTTAAATATATCAGCCAACTGCCTTCTGGCCATCAGCGTTTTGGATGAAAAATCCACTGCTAATCTTAATAAGGATCCCCTGTATGTAGTGAATTGTTTCTCCTTTGCTACTTCAAGATTATCTGTAGGTCTTTGTCTCTTAAAAGTTTGATTATAGCCCTGGCTGGTTTCGCTCAGTGGTTAGAGCGTCAGCCCGCGGACCAGAGTGTCCCAGGTTCGGTTTCCACTAGGGGCATGTACTCCGGTTGCACTTTGTTCCCAACCCCAGTTGGGGTCATATGGGTGGCAACCAGTTGATGCGTCTCTCTCTCTCATGTTGATGTTTCTCTCTCTCTCTTCCTCCCTGTCTCCCTCCTGCTCTATCTGAAGATAAATGCAAAAATGTCCTTGAGTGAAGATTAAAAAAATAAGTTTGATTATAATGTGTCATATTGTGAGTCTCTTTGAATTTATCTGATTTGGAGTTCACTGAGCTTCTTGAATGTTTATATTTATGTCTTCCTTAAAATTTGGGTCATTATTTCTTCAAATATTCTCTCTGCCTGTTTCTTTCTCTCTTTTCCCCCAGGACTCCCACAAGTTCTTTAAGCTCTGTTCACTTTTCTTCAACCTTTTTTTCTGTTCCTCAGACTCAATAATTTCCATTGTGCTATCTACAAGTTTGTTGATTACTTTCTTCTGCCTGTTCAAATCTGACTTTGAAGCCCTGTAGTGAATGTTTTATTTCAGTTACTTTGTTTTTTAGATTTTTCTATCTCTTTATTGATATTTACATTTTGTTCATAGTTTTCTTTATTTCCTCCACATCTTCCTTTAGTTGTTTGATCATCTTTAAGACTTTGTTTTAAAGTCTTTGTCCAGTAAATTTGACATTAGATTTTTTTTCAGGGACAGTATCTGTTGATCCACCCCCCCCCCCTTTTGAATGGACCATACTTTCATGTTTCTTGCATGCCTTGTGATTTTGTTGTTGTTGATGAAAACTGGACATTTGACTCTAATAATGTGATAATGCTGGAAATCAGGTTCTCCCTCTTCTCCAGGGTTTGATGGCTTTTGTTTATTTTTTTAAATTGTAAGTTGTGTTTGTGCCAAGGATCAGCCTGAGGTGAAAAATTAAGGTCTTCGTGGGTCTTTTCTGAGCCTGTGCCTTTCCCTGGGTATGTGTGGTCACTTCCTAATTTTCCCCAGAAATGCAGTTGCTTTTAAATGTCCAACTTTTAATGCCTGGCTTCCAAAGGGGAAAAGGGAAAATGGAGAGAAAAATAAAGGGCACTGGCCCTTTAAATCTTCTGAGACACTTCAGCCAGAGGAGGAGGGTCTTACAGCAATGGGGGGAAATGCAACAACAATGACTGCCTCTTTGTCTGCACCTCTGAGAGCAGAAGCAGTAGCCAGTGATCAGAGCACAGACCCCTGATGTTTGGAGAACATAGTCCAATTTCAGCTGTGTGCCAACTTCCCTGGGAACGTCTGCAAGGCTGCCTGGGCACTGAGGGGAGAAGGGTAGCTGCTACTGTGTGAAGAGCTGAAATTGACCAACGTGAACTGCACTGATCCTTCAAGCCCCCCCCTAAAATTACCAACCTTCAATAGACTCAAGGGTTCCACAACAGTTAAATCAGACTGATTCTCCCAGGAACATTCTTGTCTAGGTGGGGAGAGAGATTCCTGATGCCTCCTACTCCACCGTTTCCCCAGACTCTCCTTGGTTGTTTCTTGTAACAAAACTTCTTTCTGGGGAATAAGACCTATAATAACTGAGGCCCTTCTCACTAAGGAATGAATCTCTGACACAAAAAGCCCTTACCTTTCATTAAAAAGCTATATTTAATGAAATTACTAACCTGATCCTAAATCCACTGAAACCAGGGCACGTTGTCACATAAAACCTCATTATATTTCCTCTACCAACACCAACAGCCCCCCTTAGCATTCGTCCTCTGGGAAATGACACTGTTTTGCTCATTTCATGCAAATTATCACTGGAAGACGAGAATAGAAGATTTCTTTCTAGATATAGGGACCCACAAGACAAAGAAGCCCAGACTTAGACACAGGAGCAGATGTACAGGGTGTGCCTAACTCACTGTCAAGGTTGCATAAGCAAGATTTCAAAATTAATCCTACTCTGGAGACCTCAAGCTAGTGTACAATGTTCCTAGCTAGAAAAGAAGAACTGCATAATTCTTTTTTTTTTTTCTTCAAACCTTTACCCTTACTCTTGTATCTCCGCCTTCTCTTTCTGCAAGAAACTTTATTTCCTACTTCTGCACACCAAGTTCCTACCTTCAGATCTGCTTGGCTCAGTTGCTGAGAAACCTGACACACCAGTGCCACTTGGAAGAAGACATCTACCGGTGAGTTGTGTGTGTGTGTGTGTTTTTTTTAATCAGTTTGTGCATCTGAGCATCTCAGCTCTGGAGATGCAGGGACTGGGAGCACTCAGAGGGTCTGCATAGCCCAGGAACTTGGGGGTGATAAATGTGGGAGAAAGGGGTAGAAGGTGGTGTCTGCACCAGAAATGTTAAGGGAGACCATGATGACAAATACAAAGCAGAGTAAGACCCCCCTCAGGGCTCAGGTGATTTAGAGAGTGTGCAGAAGAAAAAAGAACCTAGAAAGTGGGAACAATCAGGTGTTTCAACTACTGTTCCTTCACTCTGTCCCTCCAACTCCCAAGGGCTTTAAGGAGCTGAAACTTTCTCCCCAGAATTTTCTCCCCTCTAGTCCTTATATGTCATAGTCCAGGCTCCAAACCCAAATGTGCCTCTTGCCCCAATTCACAAGGCCCACAGAAGCTGAAGAGAGGGATTTAACTTTCTGAGAGGCAGCTTTTAATAGATTCTGGATGACGTGTCCTGACACTTGACAGTGCGTCTCAGCCAGCTTGCTAAGTGTCTGCTGTGGCAGGAGCTAGGTGACAGGAGAAAGGAGGTGGCTGGCCTTAGAGAGGCCAGTGCAGGTGAACAAGGTGCAGAGAACACACACTGGAAGGCGTTGGGTGATTCAGCCCCTTGCACCCCCCTCACCCCCGGTCTGAATCATCAGAGCAAGGATCTGGGCTCTATATTTCTAACGGACAGACTTCCTGTGAGATACTGGAGCCCAGCATTGAGTACCACCGCTCCAGTTCACACTTTCCCATACGAAAGAGGAAACTAAACCCTGATTAAATACAGAACAGCCCAAGAGCTTGCTGCCATGAAGGTGCCAAGTGCTAGGATCCCCAATATATTCATTTTTATAAGGTCTCCCACTGGATTACCTGGGAGTCCCGTCCACAGTGGAGCATTCTGTTTCTCAGTCACTGGCCGCCTGCTAGTTCTCTGTTTCTCATTTATTCAGTGGATATTTACCTAGTAGCCACTGGGTGCTGGTTTGGGTTCTGGGACACTGGGATACCTCATTGCAAAGACAAAGATCTCTGCCCTCATGGAGCTTATGTTTTGGTGGAAGAGTGTGTGTGTGTGTGTGCGCGCGAGCATGTGCACGTATGCTTGTACATGCATGGGTGGGGCATGTTCATGTGGATGAGTGTGCATTCTAAGGCATGGAAGAATACCTAGAAAATCTATTACCTCTTCTTCTACACCCATCTCTGCTCTCAGAGCCTGGAGGTGGAAGCTCTGGGGGCTTTGAAATTAAACAGCCCAGAGTTCAAATTCCAGTTCAGCCACCGCTTCCTTGTGGGTTTGGGAAAGTCATTTAATCCATCCATGTTTGCAGTTTTCACTTGTAAAATGCATAGTTATCTCACAAGTTTGTCGCAAAGATTAAATCAATGAATGTGTGCAGAGCTGGAGGAGCTGATTACAGTTGTCATTCTGTAGGTGGAGCGTTGTCTTCCAAGCTTGATCAGAGGTCTCGCTTGGGTGCTGCAGATCTCAAGAATCGGGCTCAGGGATGTGAAATGCAGGATCTGTGAAGTGTATCAATCGCAGGACAAATTAAAGAATGTATACATATCTAAAAGGATGTGTATAGAGATGAAAACAAATCACAGTCACTGCCAGAAAAAATGAATATTCTTGAGAATCAAGGCTAATGATGTTAGATATCAAACTTTTGATTGGTGCCTCCGTTAGCCAGATGCCATCAGAAGAGTTGGGGATAGAAACATGACCTAGTTCTTGACCTCGAGGCGCACACCGTGTGTAGAAGATACGGTGATAAGTGCTTACCGAGAGGCGTGCACAGTGTTACCAGGGGATGAGAGCGATTTGATAGAGGAGGCTGCACCGAGAAGGGGAATCAGAGCTGAGGCAGTGAAGGGTCAATAGGAGCTCCCCGGCCGTGTTAGGCAGAGGGGCAAGCATATGCAAAACCCCTGAAGCATGAAGGAAATGGTGAGTCTGGGGAAATGGAGAGAAAATGGCTGTGTCTGGGCACAGGGTCTGGGATTTGAGAAGGGACTAGAGATGAAGCTGAGAAGAAGAGAGCTTAGAAAAGGTGAATGGTTGGGGCACTACCTTAGAAGTCCCATCTCAAACACATTGTGGGGCTACTGGAGGCTTCAAGCTGCAAAGTGCCAATCCAATCTCAGTTTTAGAGAACATGGAGCGAGAGGGAGCATGGCCAGGAATTAGCCTTGAGCCAATGAGAGACCACAACAAAGCCATAAGTGAGACGCATAAGAGGCAAGAAAGGGGCAATTGAAAGCGGTTCAGAGGGGATGATCTCGGAGGTGTTTATGACATTATAAGAACAACACAGCGCATGTCTCTACGCTGCACTGTCTGTCTCCAGTCATCCTCACGGCAGCCCAGCAGAGCCATTATTTTATATGTAAAGAATCCGACAGTGAAAAAGTAATTAGCCCCAAACTGCACAACTTGTAAGTTGGAGGCAGGATTCAAATTTATGTCTGTTTGGCTCCCAAGAGCTGGTTCCTAATCTTCTAAAGAGGAGGGGACCAAGATAATGCCACATTCTGCTTCTTGGGTCATAGAGTAAAGGACAATGGCCAAGATAAGGAATCCACAGGTTGATGCAAGTTCTCGGGGCTGCTCAGTGTGGGTAAGTTGAATCTGAAGTACTTGTATGAAACCAACTTCATTCACTGCTGTAGCTCTAGTGACTAAAACAGAGCATGGCTCCTAACAGGCGCTCAGTAAACAGTACAGGTTAAACCATAAATCCAAGAGAGATACGCAGCAGACAATGGAGCATTCCACTCCGAGGTGTAGGAGTTGAAAGATGGGACTGGAAGACAGATCTTTGGAAAGCACTGGCATTCAGGGGACTTAGAGCCTGAGGTTAGGACGGACTCCAAGGCGAGAATGAAGAGGGAAAAGGCAGAGAGGTGGGAGCCAAGGATGACGCCTGGGGACTCTTACAGCGTGGGCAGGGGGAGGACACTCCAACGAAGACATTTCATTAGAAGTGGTGGGACAGGTGCTAAGCTCCTGGAAGCCAAAAGTGTTTTAGTGGAAGAAGTTATCAGAAGGATCAAAGGCTCAATGAGGATGAATCTGAAACGAAGCCAGGGCATTTAGATATTGGGTTGTCATCGCATCCTTGGCAAGAAACATTCTGGCCAAATGATCAAGGCAGAAGGTTGAGGGGTATCGGTTGGCATGCTTGTGGCTGCAAGTCACAGGAAATGCAACTCATCGTGGCTTAAACGCAGGGGCTAACGTCTCTCAGACCACAAGGGTGGGCCTGAGGCTTGGTGACGTTCAGACTCTGCTCACGTTGGCTCTCTGGGTCCTTCATTCATGGTCCCAGGCACCAAACCCTCACAATGTAAACTACAAGAGTGGAAGTGTCAGGCCAGGGTTTCTCCTGCTCTCTCTTGTCAGAGAAGCGTGTTCCCAGAAGCCCCCTAGCAGAGTCTCCTTCTAGGTCATCACCCAGGAATAGGTCCCTGGCAGAGGAGACAGAGAAAGCAAGCATCCAACCTAGTCACCTGACAATGAGGGTCGGGCACTCCGGGAAGACCAAGGGTGTTGGTAAAGGGCTGTTGGGGACATGACTGGCTTCTGCTGCCAGAGTTAAAGGGAAGGGGTGCACTAGCACACATGCTTTTGGGGAGACGGCTGCGAAGCAAAGACAAAGACCGGAGGGCGCGTAAGGGGGCAAAGATGTGTTTAAGACCAGGAATTGCCGCCGTTATATTGTGTTACCGTCTTGTTGTATTTGCAGGACAGAGGAAGATGGGGGACACGGACTCGTTAACCGGGTTCAGCCACAGCATACTGTCCACAACCCATTCTCTGCTTGCAACCAATATCCGGGTGAACGAGGATGAAGACCCCACCAGCAGCTTTGACTACGGGGACAGCAGTGCGCCCTGCAAGAAAGAGGACGTGAAACAGATCGCAGCCCAGCTCCTGCCCCCGCTCTACTCGCTGGTGTTCATCTTCGGCTTCGTGGGCAACCTTCTGGTCGTCCTCATCCTGATAAACTGCAAGAAGCTGAAGAGCATGACGGACATCTACCTGCTCAACCTGGCCGTCTCTGACCTGCTCTTCCTCCTCACCTTCCCGGTGTGGATTCATTCTGCGGCAGATTCGTGGGTCTTCGGGAATGCGATGTGCAAAGCGTTCACAGGGATATATCACGTCGGCTATTTTGGAGGAATCTTCTTCATCATCCTCTTGACAATCGACAGGTACCTAGCGATCGTCCACGCCGTGTTTGCTTTAAAAGCCAGGACGGTCACCTTCGGTGTGGTGACAAGTGGGGTCACCTGGGTGGTGGCCGTGTTCGCCTCTCTCCCAGGGATCATCTTCACCAAATCTGAAGCTGATGAGTACGAGGACTCCTGCGCCCCCTATTTTCCGGAAGAATGGAAGAACTTCCATGCCATAATGACGACCACCTTGGGCCTGGTCCTGCCGCTGCTCGTCATGGTGGTCTGCTACTCGGGAATCCTGAAGACCCTGCTCCGGGTCCGCAACGAGAAGAAGAGGCACAAGGCCGTGAGGCTCATCTTCGTGATCATGATCGTGTACTTTCTCTTCTGGACTCCCTACAACATCGTCCTTCTCCTGGACACCTTCCAGGAGTTCTTCGGCCTGAGTACCTGTGAGAGTACCAGCCGGCTGGACCAAGCCATGCAGGTGACGGAGACCCTGGGGATGACGCACTGCTGTATCAACCCCATCATCTACGCCTTCGTCGGGGAGAAGTTCAGACGGTACCTCTCTGTGTTTTTCCGAAAGCACGTGGCCAAACACCTGTGCAAACAATGCCCGGTTTTCTACCGGGAGACAGCGGACCGCGTGAGTTCGACGTACACCCCTTCCACTGGGGAGCAGGAAGTCTCGGTCGGTTTGTAAAGGGACACAGCCGCCTAGACATGATCATAAGCCTCGAGGGTTTGCTGAAGTACACAGGCCTGCGAGTCTCTCAGGCGAGTGCCCAGGAGCCTCAGGGTTGCGTGTACCGAGACAGACTTGTGTCACTCCTGGTACAGTCCATGTGTACTCGAGAAATATGCCAGAACGGCTGTGGGAGAGACTTTGACTCTGTCACCAGCTCGTCTCAGTTCCCGGAAAATGCCACATCATCTATGCTTCTGCCCTCTCTCCCGTCTTCACCATTTCTCCGCTTGCTCTCGGATTCTATCAGTCTCTTTAATCAAGCGCCCAGGGAGACAGCTGTGGGGGAAGGAGAGGAGGGGGAGGGGGTCAGCCACATGTGGCGAGGACAGAGCGGGAGCACAGCGAAGCCGGGACTGGATGAAGGTAAAGGGTTTGCTCGTTCAGCTGTGCGAGTACTGGCCCTGAGCCCCCTCCCCCCCCCCCCGTTTGACTTCGAAGGCACCCCCAGGTCCTGGAGAACGTGGGGACTGGAATCATGTTCTGACAGCTTTGCTTGAGCGCGGTGACCCTCATCTGCGTGAGTGCAGGACCCATTTTTATTCATTCTGGTTTATCCAGCCACACACCTGACCTGTGAAATCTGTTAAATACCCACGTTTCTTAGGCCACAGTCCCCTATAGAACCAAAATGTATACAGATGTTTGTTTATAAAATATGCATGAGATGAAATGAGATGAAAAAGAAAGCGCTTTGTTTGGTCTTTCGAGGGAAAGGGCAGTGATTAGGAGAAAGGGTGGGGATAAATGAATTCCCCATCAGGGGCGCAGGGCTATAGCCAGAGTGAGACCACCCCAGGAATGGTTCCAGAATCAGCTGAGAGAGAGGCCGGGAAGCACACCCCAGAACCTCCGAAGGCTTGTGTCTCGGATCTGACGGCCCGGCCTGCTGTCCTTCCAGGCCTCCCGCTGCCCCTGCCCTGTCCGTCTCCCCAGAGCCGTTACACTAACTCCTGCCTGTGGGTGAACAGCTTCAAAGTCCAGTTTGCGGAGGCCCCAGAGATTGAACTTGGGGAGAACAATGAAGACGGGTTTGGAAGGGTGGGATAAACATGTCCTCCAAACGACCTTCCAAGGGCTTCATTTTTGGACACAGGGGTAGAGCTTATATATATATATATATATGTGTGTGTGTGTGTGTGTGTGTGTGTGTGTGTGTGTGTGTGTGTGTGTTTGGTTTTTTTTTCCAGTCCTCATCTGAGGACATTTTTGCATTTATCTTCAGATGGAGCAGGAGGGAGAGACAGAGGATGAGAGAGAGAGAGAGAGACAGAGAGAGAGAAACATCGATGTGAAAAAGATACATTGACTGGTTGCCACCCACACAACCCCAACCAGGGCCAGGGACGAACCACAACCAAGGTACGTGCCCTTAGCAGGAACCGAACCTGGGACTATCTGGTCCGCGGGCCAATACTCTAAGCGCTGAGCCAAAACAGTCAGGGCATTTTTTTTTTTTTTTAAGTAAAAATAAAGGCGAAAACCACAACTTGTGAGCATGCTAATGTATCCTTTGAAGCGTTATTATTATGCCAAGCCTCAAAGTACTGTATTAGTCATGGAGACAATTCTGGCTTTGAGCTGAAGATGCTGGAGCATGTCTGGGAGCGGCCGAGTCAACATACACGGTTGTGGAGGAGGGAGCTGGTGCTCTGTGACCTCTGGCCTACTGCTTATGCTGATGTGGTGTCGGATATCACCTGGGTCACAGCATCTCCCAGGGGTCCTCTCAGCTGTGTCTGTCTCTCTCACACTTGCTGCCAGAAATCGTGTTTTTGCATCAGTAAGTCTCTGAGGTCATGGATGTAATCATATTTGAATGCCCTGGTGCTTTGTGGATGTCCTTATTGATGTTTGAATTGCCCCATTTGGCCAGTGGGAAGTAACTCAAGCTGACCCCTAATCAAAGCTTTGAAACGCTGTTTGTAAAGATGGGGAGTTGATTCCCCTAAGTCGGCAGACTTCCGTCTCGCTGGAGTGGGTTAGGGATGTGCATTCATGGCCCGGGGGCCGTCTGACCGGCAGCAGGAACCCAGGGCCGGGCCCTGGCGCCCCGCGGGGAGGTACCGAGGCTTCACCTTCTAGCTTCCTGGCTGGAGGGTTTCACAGGGAAGTGTATGGGCTGGGGGCAGAGGGGGGCGCCCTTCCCCGCCGTATTGGTTTCACCCTGATGAATGCATTGAATTCTGGTTTGATGATGAAATGTAAGTATTGTTATGACTTGGAAAAGGAATCAACTCCATTGTTTTTGTTTTTGTTTTTAATCCTGTTGATTAGAAACTCCCCATTTCCTCCTCCCCCAACTCTGGCAACCACCACCCCATCCTTTTCATCTGTGAGGTGGACTATTTTAAATATCTCATGTGAATGGGATTAGGTATTACTTGTGCTTCTGCAAATGGCATATTTCACTTAATGTCCTCCGGGTTTGTCCATGTCGTCACATGTAACAGGATTTCTTCATTTCCGAGGCTGAATAATAGTCCACTCCATGTACATATCACATTTTCTGTACCCGTTCATCAACATGTGCAGTTTGTTACACGCGATGACTAAGTTCTAATGTCCGCTTTGCAGCACCGAGTCCCCACGTAACGACTGTCCTGCGCGCTCCAAGGTCTGATAAGGGGATAGACCACGCGTCAGGTGTTCTTACCACAATAAAATCTGTTTCAAAAACTGCCTGTTTTGCCCTGGCCAGTTTGGCTCAGCGGTTAGAGCGTCGGCCTGTGGTCTGGAGAGACCCGGGTTCGGTTCCCGCTAAGGGCACATACTTCGGTTGCAGTTTGTCCCCGGCCCTGGTTGGTCGTGCGGGTGGCAGCCACTCGATGTGTCCCTTCACGTCGATGTTTCTCTCTCTCTCTCCCTCCCACTCTATCTGTACAAAAAATGGAAAAATATCCTCGGGTGAGGATAAAAAAAAAAAAAAAAAAAAAAAAACTGCCTGTTTTGTTGTACTGTGGTATGATTATCACAACTTTTCACTCCTTCTCCATGTGGTCACACAAGCCTGTCCCTGCTGAGTGACTGGCATGTGCCCTCCAGGCATGACACCCTCACCCCATCCACAGGTGGCTCGGCCCATGGAAAGTGAGCAGCAGTGACATCTGCCATTGCAAGTGGTTGGGCTGAGCCTCCAGCTGTCCCTGCTCAGCCATAGGTGGGCCTGTCCCAGCCCAGGCCTCCCGCAGCCCAGGCATCTGGTGAGCAAGTGAGAAGACAGAGAGCAAAGCCATGTCCCCAGCCGCAGGGCAGCCACATGTCCCCGAAGCAAGAGGTCTGTTCTAAGCCCCTGAGTCGTGGGGTTTGTTTGCTAAGACGCACAAAAGCTGATGAATTCGTTGAGAGGCTTCATAAATAACATTTGGCAAAGCGTCCTAGCTTTTCCATCATGGAATTCTGCGTGACACACACACCTGAGGGTCCCCAGGTGCAGGCTGGTCAGTACACCAGAAGGGATGTCAATGCCTGTGCCCTTAGACCTCACTGCAGATGGGGGGAGGGTAGAGGATGGGGTGCTTGTAAATCACAATGGACTCTGCAGAGCACAGAAACAGATGCATAGGTGACATGTTCTGAGAGCCCAGAGGAGAAAGGGACCAACTCAATGATCGTCCTGCATCATAGTAAAATGGCTATGGTAGGATTTTATCACCATCAGAGAAAGTGAACTTAGTGCCAACCGTCTCCTGTTCTGGAAGTGGAGACCACCAGCCTTTTCTCCCGGGAAGAACATGTGAGTTAAGCTCACAGCAGGAAAGCTCATCACTCCACGGGAGGGATCTCTTGAAGTCTTTTAGCAGAGCTGGGGGCTCGCGTAGGCCGCTCCATGCCATCCTCCTTATCTGTGGCACTCAACGCAGTTGGGGACATCTGAGCATTTCTCAGAGCGGTCCTGCAGCCTCCTGGGAATACGCCATCAAGACCCCATCTTTCCACTTTGGCTTTTCCCCATTATTAAAATTGCCCTGACACATTGAAATGGCCTCAGGTGAGATGAACCAGTGGCAAAGGCCACCGGGGAAACTCGCTGAGAGAAGAGGCGTCCAGGCTGGTGAGGAGACCGCTGCAAGGCAGCAGGTGAATTTCGGTGAGGGCCGGCCGGGGTGTGGTGACTGAGGTTGGAAACGTCTTCAGACTTGCTGCTTTCGCAGCATGTTTAAACCTGACCCTGGGTGTTCTCACATCCGTGCACATCCTGCTGCCCTGTGCCGTGCCCTGTCCTCACGGTCACCTCTCTCCAACGCCCTCTCCCCGTGCTCAGCTGGCCTGCAGCCCAGTGCATGCCCGGCCCAGGAATGCGGTGCTGGCCCTGCCCCCCAGCTCCCCGACTTCTCCCCATCGATCCCACCCACTTCTGCCACCTGTCTCCTTACAGGGATGGTGGGAGCAGCTGACATGGTGACTCGGGGGCACAGGGCTGACTCTGTCAGTTTCAGTGGCCCCAGGAAGGTGTGAGCTGGTGTCAGTGGTTTTCTTTAGAACTGCAGGGTAGTTAACACCTCCTTGCCTCAGGGTACAGTTGCCAGTTCTGGGGCAACAGGAAAAGTCCCGCCTACTACCCTGTTATGCACAGAGTTGAATAGAGAGCTAGGTGTGACCTGACCCCCTGGAGGCCACAGCAAGCCGAGGGCACAGGACCACGCGTGGCATTGCTGGGGGCTCTGGGTAGTTTTCTTCCTTTTCCTTCAAGGACCATGGGGACTCTGGCTCTCCTGGAGAAGGTGGCTTCGGGGACACTGGGAGCTTCTTCCTTGGCAGGGATATCATGAAACACGCTGTCCATAGGAGTGACCACAGGGCAGCCCAGCCACCTGCCTCGGGGCCCTGTCAGATCTAGTCACTGTCAGATCCAGGCATTCTCTTGAGCAAGAGAAGCCGGACACACAGGAGCCAGAGTCTGGTTCCACTTACACAAAGTGAAAGGACAGGCACATCGAATCCCTGACGCCAAGTCAGAGTGGCCCTGGCCTCTGGGTGGGGCGCAGGGTGCTTTCCAGGGTGACAGGGCCACTGTCATCTCGATCCGGGTGGTCACATGGCGCCTGATTCGCTGAGCCTCACCAGGCTGTACGCCTGCCATTAGGGTGCTTTGCTGCACGTAAGTTATGCCTCAATAAAAATAACAGTTAAAGAACTATATAACAACTTTTAATAATGTGAAGAAATGCCTACAGTATAATCTTTTTTTTTTTTTTTGTGCTACGTGCCCCTAGCGGGAACCAAACCCAGGACTCTCTGGTCCACAAGCTGACGCTCAACTGCTGAGCCAAACTGGCCAGGGCTAATTTTTTTCTTTATTGATTTTAGAAAGAGAGCAAGGGAGAGGGAGAGAGAGATAGAAACATAGATGAGAGAGAACATCGATTGGCCACCTCCTGCATGCCCACACTGGGGATGGGGCCCACAACCTGGGCATGTGCCCTGACCGGGAATCAAACCGGCGACCTCTTGGTGCATGGGTCGACGGTCAACCAGTGAGCCACACCGGCCGGGCCTACAATGTAATCTTTAGTATAAAAAGAAAAAGCACCACCCAGACTGGTATACATGGGAGAATAATTAATCAAAAAGTACACAAAAAGCAAGGTCTGGATAAAACACATCATAAATTGAGAGGGACTGTTTTGAGATCCCGAGAATACGCCTAACTTTTGTCCCACTTCTGTTTTTCATAACTGCATACAATGAGCATGTGTTGGCTTTATAATTAACATCTGTTTAAACGACTAAAGGATGCAGTCACTATTTTTACAACCTAGCTCACTGTTCACTGACATTGACCTGGAGTCAACCTGAGCCCCAGGTATGTTCACGTGAGGGGTTTCCGCTCACTGTACTCGTGCAGGTGGCCCCTGGAACCCAAGGAGAAGACTGGATGCTCTCCCCATCCCGTTGACGGCGCTCTGAGTACACGATCCAGAGACGGCGTGGGCAAGGAGCGCGCACCATCCCTGGAACTCGGGAGCAATGATCAAATGTAGAGCAGCTGTTTAAGGACTGGCCAGGCCCCGAAAGGAGAGCTGGCATGAGACACCCCCCAATACAGACATCGAGTCTAGTGACAAAGCAGTCAGAAGACCATTTCTGGT